AATTTTAATATTGAACACTCTACACCTAACATTAACATTAACCGTTTTTAAGAAAAAAAAATATTTAAAATTCTTTGACGAAAAAAACTGCCTGTCAAAAATATGTTTATAGCCTAAACGTCAAATTTAGTGATTACCACAGCCACTGTGCCATAAAGAGAAGACATGTGGCTATCTATTTCAAAAATTAAAATGTTCGAATGTCTATTAATAATGACCGCAGCTGTTGTGGAATTGAGCAATTAAAAAATTATCTTAAATCATTTTTTTCAAATAGAAACCTACTTTTTTATTTCACTAGTGAAAAGGCTTTTCAATTCATTGCTTTTTGTCTATACATGTTCCTATACCTAAAATAAATCGTTTGTACAGTACGTCTGTCCGTTCTGTAGCTACGGGGTATCCGTGAGAGAGGAAACGATATTCTCTCCATGTTTTTCGTAAAAAATTAGACGACACATCCATAAAATAAAACCATCAATAAAAATTCGACAAATTTGCAAGTAGCCAATAAAATGAGTGAGCGGAGCGATTTGCGGTGATGTACTCGTCAAGTCGACGTATAAAATATATTGCTGTTTATTTAAATGTTTTTTGTCCGCATTCCTTTCATATACTGTACATCTGCTGGATCTGTGTCTATGAAACGAATGCGGACAAAAAACATTTAAATAAACAGCAATATATTTTATACGTCGATTTGACGTGCGTCACCGCAAATCGCTCCGCCCACTCATTTTATTGGCTACTTGCAAATTTGTTGAATTTTTATTGATGGGACGCGTCGTATATTTTTTTACGAAAAACATCGAGAGAAAACCGTTTCCCCTCTCACGGATACCCCGTAGCTACAGAACGGACAGACGTACTGTACACAGATCCAGCAGACGTACTGTAAGTTATTTAAGATTTATTTTAAAGCGTATATTTTTCTTGATTTTAACCAGTAGCCTATGACTTTAAACATCAAGTGATGTAAAACAATAGATCTGGCCATGTCATATTGTGACACTTTATTCAAAAAGCAGTATATTATCGATCATTTCCAAGCCAACTTTGCGCTGTTTTTTTTTTTTTGATCATACGTTATATTATTCGATCATACGTGATGATAGTAATAATATCAACTATTAGATATCACTAAAGAGCGAAAATAACGAGATACATTTTTATAAATACGCTTTTTAAACTCTTAAGGCAGGCAGTATTTATAATATCGTTTTCTGACAGATGGAAATAAATTGTCTGCTTGTTAAATCTCAAAGACAGATAGATAAAATCAAGAAAAATATTTTCAAACTAAATCTTAAATAACTTAAAAACGATTTATTTTACCTATAGGAACATAATGTCGTCCTATTGCTGCCAAAAGTCACTAACTAACATTTTTCCGAACAACCAAATTCAATCACTAACTGTTTTGAGGCGGAGAATCGATTGCAAAAGTAATTAACTAAGATTTCTGGCTATTTATGTTTTATTTTAATACCGAATAGTTACTAACTATAACATCTTTATGCAATGCAATTCATCTTTAGACGCATTTTTCTCGGAAGTAATAAAAAGTAAGTTAGTGACTTTTGGCAGCAATGGGACGATGTATAGACAAAAAGCAATGAATTGAAAAGCCTCTTCACTAGTGAAATAAAAAAAGTGGGTTTTCATTTGAAAAAAATGATTTATGATAATTTTTTAATCGTTCAATTCCATGACAGCTACAGCCATTATTATATGTCATTTGAACAATTTAATTTTTGAAATAGATAGCCACATGTCTTCTCTTTATGTCACAGTGGCTGTGGTAATCACTAAATTTGACATTTAGGCTATATAATTTTTTTTTTTGACATATAGTTTTTTTCGTCCAAAAATTTTAAATATTTTTTTCTCAAAAACGGTTATTGTTAGATATCTATAGTGTTTAATATCAAAATTTATAAAATTTGACAGAGAATTTAAGTATGTAATAAAAAATGGGTATCCATTTAATAAAAAAGTTACTGTTAACGCTGTCGCCATATTCAAAATATTTTTAATCGATAGATCTCGTTGTGAAACGATGATGTGCAAAAAATCTCCGATCTAGATATTGTGGTTCTCTAGAAACTTCTAATGCACGCTCAGCCTGGGACACCCTGTATAAGGGTGGGGTGATTACTTTCGCAGAAGTTGTGGTTAGAAGTGTCACTTTTTTCAGTGTAAGATCTAAATACATCATTAAAATAATTGCTGTTTAATTCACACCGAAGTTAAATCCTTTTTTCCTTATCCTCGTTGTTATTTTTGTCGTTGCTCCGTGGTTAATTCAAAAGCGGCGGGCATCGCGGGTAACCGACATTCGCATTATTAATGAGATATTATTCTGGCGGATAATTGCGGTATGCGCTCGACGGGAAAACCTTTTAAGAAATGAAAACGCGTTAAAAAAGAGCGCTCGCGAGGCCCCAGATTTGCCGTTAATTTTGCATGACGCCGTTAAGGCGCGCTGTTCTCTGGACAGAGCCTACTCGGAGCGGAGGAAGAGATTTGGGTGAGGTGAGGGGAGGAGATTAGTAATCGCATTTGAAAAATTACAGGATCCTTTTCTTCAAATTGCAATTTAATTATTTAGGCAGTCCGAATTATAAGTAAATAATAAAGGGTTTGTTGCAATGGAGGAATAAGCCTGGTAAAAATAATTAGGGTTAAATGAAAAAGAATTGTGATATAATATAACAAAGACTAAATTGCATATATCATTGTATACAACATTATACACGGTTACAATACAATTTGATTAACGATTAAATTTTGCACCTGATTCACCTAAAATATACAGGGCGTTTGGTTAAATTAATTAAAACCATTTAAATTAAACAAGTTTTTGCCGTTTAAAGCTAATAATTATTTAATATAAATTTTTGGACACTCTGTATAAGGTAGTATAATTTTTATTATTGCAATACAAAACCTGATCAATAAATAATCTTCAGTAAATATTTAGTATTAAAAACTTTGATACCCTTGGAGAAATGAAGCCTTAATATTTTTACTGCTATTTCATAAAATTGAAAATATTTCAAAAACGGTAAGGTTTAAGTGTGATAAACTTTAATCAAACTTACCTTTATTTCAATCGTAGAATCTAAAAATAGAATAATATACAGGGTGTTCTATTTAAAAAAATACAACTATAACATTTTTTACTTATTTAGGACACTCTGTATCTTGTAAAAAATATTTATAAATTGTAGCTCTAATAGTCGTTCAACGAACGCAAAACTTACAATTTGTAAAAATCTAATCGTTTAGCTACAATATTCCGTGTCCTATATGGTGAACAGTGGTGAACAACCCTGCGTATAAAATTACAAAAAAATACATAATAGTAACATTATATAAAATGACAAAAAAAATTATTACGGTTAATAAACAAAATTGTTCTAAATTTTTGTTCGCTGTGTTTAACTAATTTTTAATATAGAAATTATTTCACAAAATATATTTTGCAACTTACCGGTAAATAATGTTTAATAAACCGGGTACCTTTCAAAAATGGCTCACCTCTATAACTTTTTTTTTCAGATAAAAAACCATATTTGGTATGTTACTATATGACATAAATTAGAAATTAGGATTGATTGACGTATTCAATTCTTTTCCGCCACTTCCTGTTTCACCAGAAATGACTACAATTTTTTATTTTTTTAAATGGCACCCTCGGTATTTTTTACTTTATTCGATGAAAATGACACTCTGAATAGAATGACATATCATGTGTCAATTTTTGACATTTTCGCTTAAGAAAAAATTGTATTTTAAATTTCAATCTAGAGTGCCATGTGTTAAAAACATTAATTTTTAATCAAGGAGCCTTGTAAAAATATATATGATCGTCTAATGTTTTAGTGTCTTGTCCTGCCCGGTGTTTTTAATAATATCTCAATTTTTTCAAATAGAACGAAGGCGGCTCATTAGCATAATTGGATGAAGCATTTTTAAATGTACTAATTTGGTACCACACGCATGTATTTAGAGTCAAATTGTCGTTATGAATCGCATATTTTAATTTCAAATAAACCAAATTCGAATATGTAAAAAGTTGACATAATATGATATGTCATTTTATTCAGAGTGTCTTTTTCTATCGAATAAAGTAACAAAACACCCAAGATGCCATTTTGAAATCAAAAGTTGTAGTTATTTCCGGTGAAACAGGAAGTGACCGAATACAATTATTGAATACGTCAATCAATAATAATTTATGTCTATACTAACATACCAAATATCGATGTTTTATCTAAAAAAATAAAAAAGTTAGAGGTGCCACTTTTGAGACGCACCCGGTATAAGTTATTTCACAAAATATATCTTACAACTTACCAGTATATTAGAAATAAAAACTTTATCAACTGTTATTAAATAAAAAAATAAAAAGTAACGGCACGCGGGGTTCCCAAGCGGTCACCCATCCAAGTACTAACCGCGCCCGACGTTGCTTAACTTCAGTGATCGAACGGGAACTGGTGCGCCAACGTGGTATGGCCGTTACATACACTATAATGTACTCTCCGGCTTTATTACCAGTTAAAAATAAATTTGTATTTCACTAAAACACATTAAATAATTGATAAGTTTAGTATACATTGTTATAATAGATAACATAAAACACGAAATATATTTTTAGGGTATCAAAAATATCAAAACCAGTAATAGATGTATAGTAAAATAAGTAAAAATTGTCAAAATAGGAAAATTCTTAAAATCCGGCGCATCCGCCAATAAATATACCTTTATTATAAAAATTATATTTTTACTCATTATTAGAAATATTTTCCCAAAAAAAAATATAAAAAGGAATATTTTTATGGCCAATAGGGAGATCAATAATTCAAAAAAAAATATTTTTTTAAATAAAAAAAATTAAAATAGACCCTGTTTACGAGCTCCAAAATAAATTTCTATTAAGTAACTATTCTCAAATTCTGGCGCATTCGCCAATAATGTAAAAAAAATCTTACCTCGTATCCCGCAGATGGATAAGTTATTTTCTCTTTCTGGAACCTGGCAAACGCAAAATGCCAAACGACAAAGGCGTAGTTCAAATATCCCATCAAAGTGTAGTTCTGAGTAGTGTAAATCTGCTTGTTAAATATATCATTAAAACAAAACCAATCCAGGGCATGAGCTGTATCCTCCAAATTAATGTTAGTGTTCAAATTGGGGTAGTTTTCAAATACACCTTGAGCAACTCTTTCATGGTCACCAAAAGAACCAATCAAACTGAGTATATTCTGCATTCTCTCTTTCATTGCTGGTGCACTACTTCCTCCTGTTAATTTCCTCATTCTCTTTATCTCAAACATTTCCTTCCATATAGTGAACAATCCTTTCTGCATATCTTTCTGACCAATATTAGTTTTATAAATATCAGAAAGACCAATGGGTTTATTTTGGGTTTTGAAAAAATGCAGCACTGACAAACATGATCTTATATCATTGTTCGATTTTTCTGCTAGTGCCGTCATGGCACCCATATCTGTTTTAATCTGCTGTCTCCTACAAATTTCAACCAATCTTTCCGCCAAACGCACACTAGATGTCTGCGGAAAGTTTATAACAAAAGATATTTGTCTTAAAGGTCTTAAAGCAGGCACATACACATCGTTACAAATACATATTATCGGTCTTTTTAGTATAGAAGGAGTATTCTCCTTGTTTTTGGACTTTCTGCCTTTCGGTTTTACATCGCCCTGTATGAATTTCACTAAATAGTCAATTGAAGGTGGTGGTGCTCCATCAATTTCATCAAACACTATACAGTTTGGTCTTTTTTCCCTATCAATTACTGAGTGCATTTGAGTGGCGTTCTCCAATGCTGTTCTAAATGAATCAATGCTACGATCATCCGAGGCATTAATTTCTATAACGTTATAGCCTGCATGCCTTGCTACCATGTGAGCTAACGTAGTTTTTCCTAAAATAATACAAAAAACTATTTAGCAAGAAATTTTAAACTTCTATACAATGTTTACCTAAACCAGGTGGGCCACACAACAACACAACTTTGTGCTCAGGTCTTCCGTGCTCATCCAGTTTAGTGTTCAATTCATTAAATTTAAAAAACTTTTTATTGTCCGATGGTAGAGGCTGGGTAACTTTAATTTTAGGATTCCTATGAAACACTACTTTATCCCATAATTTTATCCATCTCAATATGGTTCTGTTGGTACTTTCATCGCTTAGCAATTCTAAATATCGTTTTGGTTTATATAATTCAACCCAGAGTTGGTTATCTTTATTAGACTCTTCTACCATCTCAATATCTCGATTTTCTGTTAGTTGCTCTGTAGTTTCTTTATATATCTAAATAAATTATTAATTATTAATTAAATAAAAGTATTAATAAAAAGGAATTACCATTTCTTGAGCCTCATTTAGAACCTTTTGAAAATTATCACCTAATGCACCTACAGAATTACTTTCTTTCACAATTCTCTTCGATTCATCTTCCTCATATTTTTCCGAATGATACCGAATATAAATATTCTCTTTGGCAAAGTTTTTTATTCGAATAAAAGGATACTTCGGTACTTCTAGAGATATATTTCTTTTATTCCGCTCTAAATCCCTGCTTACAGGATTTGTATTTATACCAATTGAATTTAAATTATGTGTTTGCTTATAGTCATTTCTTTTTTGTACAATCAATTTTATTAAATTCATATCTTTCTTGTATTTCTCATCTTCACACAATTTTTTCGGTGCAGAATATATCTCATCAAGTTCGGTTTCGAAAAGGTCATCTACATCACCAAACAACTCATTTACAGTTCGTTTCCTATGATTAACATCATTCAAGTCTGTATGTAATGTTGTTTCAATACGTTCAGTTTCTTTTTCTGTTGTTACACCAACTGTTTCGTTATCAATTTCAAGACAGCCAGACACAAAAGATGCGTTATGATCTATATTTTCATCACTTTGAGAATTAGTTTTTGTTGGTGTATTAAAATCTAAACTTTTCCTAGCATTTGGTGCGGGTAAAACTGCTATATCCTCATCTAAAATCGAAGAAAAACAAGAATATTTATTATAACCTTTTAGATGAAATTTTTATATTTTACCTTCCAAATTTTGTTCATCCATTAATTCAAGCTCATCTCCATACATAAGCTCAAATTCTTCTTCGGGATCCGGGAAATCTGACATTTTATATATTTATAAATAAATTACCCTAAATAATTTCCAATAAAATTTATAGAAATAGGTTAAAAAACAAAAAAATTGTTTCCCGCCAAAGAAAATTAAAAATAAACAATACACTGTCATGAAAATGTCAATTTATGTGTTTTTAGGGTTGTCTAATCCAGAAGCTGTTTGTTAGTCCTGCCATCTGCACTCAACGGTTAAAACCTTCATGATACATTGATATCAATGGCTAGGATAGATGTCGCAGTATGTCATTTAAAATATTTTTATTGCATTTTTTAAAAATTTTCAACTAAAATAAAAGGCATTACTGTTATTTAATAATTATAATTAATTTCATGAACACAGGCATTAAAAAATATTATGATGACACTCTTTTAGTTTAAAATTAAATTCTTTGTTGCACGTGAAAAAAAAACTACAGAACTACTGAATGAAATGTAAATTCAAAAATAATAATAATTTTTATTGGCTTAGTTTATATTTAAACTTAATTATGTTTGCGTGCGTTTTAGAAATAATTTTACTATATTATAAATCATAAACTAGTACTAAAAGTCAGTATTATTATGAGAGTAGTACAGAATAATCTTTTTACTCCGGTATTTTTCCTAGCACAACACAATACTGCTGAACAATTATTAGTAATTTAATAATAAACGTCTGGTATATCCTGCAAAGGCCGGCCTGACCAAAATCATCTTCGAAATGAAACACTAACTGTATATTAACGGTACTACATGTGGCTCGATAGCATTCGCTGGTACGTTCGTCTTCTGTTCCGTTAATTCCTGATATTTTTTTGTGTTTTCTATACACCATTGAGTATAGGTAAGTTATTTTATCCTATAAAACACATTAATCAAACTATATCTTCTTTTTTATGCTTACTACACAACATTTAATATAGATAATAAAGTATCCAAGCAGTCTTTGATAATTAACAAATATAAAAGAAAACAAGTCTTTATGAATGTCTGGGTAAAATTTCATTTAAATTTACTTTTATCGACAAATCAACAATGATAAAACTGGTTTTCTAATAAATATGTGTTAAATTAGCAACCAGACATTCAACAATTCTTTATTCTGTTTATTATAGGAATATCATGTCACGATAGGAAATGGTATCTTTCGCAAATCGTTATTTCTTATCTCTTATCTTTCTATTTCTTTTTCAAGATAAGTTATAAAAATATTATGCATGAATTAATTATATACAGGGTATTTGAAGTTTTTTATTTTTTTTGTGCCAATATAAAGGTAAAAAATAATTTATAAATCATCTTGGTTAAATGTACAGTATCTTTAAAAAATATATAACTAATTTTAATTTAAATTTGATAGATTTTTTAGATTTTACATAAATTTTTCTTTTCATTTGTTTTATTTAAAACTTAAAACTGAACATATTTTTATTTATTTATTATTTTCCTTATTGGTGTCCTTTATTTTCTATTTGATAAATCATTGGATATATATTTCCCACTACACATATAATATACATATATATAATTTCGAAAAAATCATTTATATAATATTTCTATGTTTCTCTTATTCAAAATTGAAATTTGCAATATTCTGAAATTTCAAAAAGTTTTCATTTGTATATTTTATAAAGTTAAATAAATGGTTTCACCTCGAACGTGTACTTTTATGTCAATTCTTCCATTTTAGTAAAAAAATGTAGAAATAATTTTTGCAATTACCCATTAAATTACAAGGAGAAAATTCTGTTTATATTGCACTTTAATTTGTGCACAGTGGCGTCTCTGTAATATTCGTTTGATATAATAAAATTTAATTCAAGTATACATATAGTTCTAACCTTTTATTATACATGGAATATTTTTGCAATTATTTAAGTTTATAAAACATTTTTATTTTTTTAGTTTGTTCGTCATTTTTACATTTAACAATTATATTGTAGATATTTACAGCCAGAAAAATATTTATTTTCATTTTTTGAACTGAAGAAATTTTCTTTCATGTAAAGAAAACCAAAAATATTTACATATCAATCAAGCACACCCTTTTTGAATTCATTTTAGTCCAACGTATCTCTACTACTACTGTTAGTTTTAACACACAAAATGAAACGTAGTCAAAAATCTATGACCAGAATTTTTATAAATGATCGGCGTCCAGTTCGCTGGGAAATGAAGATCGATTACATTCCCCTTATTGTTTTGCATATAAAATGACAGCGATCTTCATTTCATAGCCATCGCTGACGCCATTTTTTTTTTCGATTATATTGTATTATTGCACCGTATGATCGAAAAAAAGCGGCATCCAGTTGACTTGGACATGAACATCGATGACATTCCATATAATTTTACATATAAAATGACAGCGATCTTTATTTCATAGCCATCGCTGACGCCTTTTTTTCGATCATATTGTATTATTGTATCTTATGATCGAAAAAAAAAACAGCGTCCAGTTGGCTTAGAAAGGAACATCGATGACATTCCCCATATAATTTTACATATAAAATGACAGCGATCTTCATCTCATATATAGCCATCGCTGACGCCGTTTTTTCTTCGATCTTACGGTATAACTTGTGGTATAACTAAATATAAAACTTAACGAGTCGTTACTGATTATACAGAACCCCTATTAAAGCTCATTTAATTTTCAATTACATTATTAAGTTGTTGATTTTATTTATATACATTATAAACGGTCTAATTGCTATTTATTTCAGGAAAAAACTTCGATGATAACCAACCGATAGTAAATATCTGACAGTGCAAGAGTCTACCCAAATTAGAAATCAACAAGAAAAATAAATTCAACAAGATAACCCTCGAAACCCCAATAATGATAAGAAAACCTCAGTTGTCCACTGGCAGAAGAAAGAAAGATATGGTTTAGCAGACTGTGTATACCGTTCAATGGATGTTTTTTTTGGATTTCTAAGTAATTTATAGTTGATAGAAGCAGGAAAAATGGGAAATAGTGGCATTATAAACTTATACTCGGTATTATACATGACATTTTTCACGTTGTGTTCTGGATTTGTTTTAATATCGTCAGCATCAGCTCCTGTAAATCGTTTGGAACTATTCAGTTTAGGAGAGAGTTTAGTTTACCAGTGGAAATCGACGGTTTTGTTGAATGAAATCGATCAATCCAGCAAAAACGTAGGATTTGCTGTGGCTGGAAAAGTAACTGTTGATTCAGTATGGGCTAAAGGTGATTTAAAGTTATTGAAAGTTGAGGTAAGAATTCAAAAAACTAGTGATTTTTGTTATACAGAGTCCGGCAATAGTGCGTGGGGCATCTGCAGCTTAACTAGCATTTGTAAAACTTGGAAATTTTGTTTAAGTGTAAACTTAAAGTATGTACTAGGATGTCTTTCAAGCAAACATTTTAACTTCTATAAAGTAGCTCAAAAAAGTGAGAGTGGATGGGGATGATTTCTTTTAAAATGGAACAGCCTGTATATACAGGGGTATATACAGGGTGTCCCAGAAATAAGTGCAAGTATTTTAAGGGGTGGTAGATCTGGTCAAAAGAAACATTTTTTCTCTTTATCGTTTTTCAAATAAGTCCAAAATAACCGAGTTATTTTACTTTGAAAATTTCCAAAAAATGATTTTTTGCTAAAATTTTGAGAACCACTGGATCTTTTCTGAATTTTCTTTAATGTAAATTTAAGCTACTACCTATGTTGCTTTATTAATAAGAAATTATGTTTTTTTAACTTAATTTAATAATAATAATAACTTAATAACTAAAAAAAATTCCAATTTTTTTTTTCAAAAAATTCCAAATATTTAATTTTTTTTTTCGCAAAAAATACCTCATAGGCGTGTTTCTGAGGCCGAAATATACTACCAGTTAAAATACTTGCACTTATTTCTGGGACACCCTGTATTATTGCATTTTTGGCTTCCTTTTAGATCACTTTACAAATCTTTAGATATGAGTAAATATATTTCGATAGTTTCAGAGATATTAATAAATAAATAAAAAATATATATTTTTCAGCCTTTCTAAAAAAAATATTAAAAATACAAAAACTGTCCTGAAACCAAAACTATATATATTAGGTGTTTTCTTGAGATGATTCGTACTTAAGTTTACTATAAATTTGGTAATCGTAGATCACATAAGATGTTCTTTATTGTACGCCAAACTTTCTATAATATAAAATAATTTTTCTTTTAAAATATTGCTATTTTTATTTCTTTTATGTTTATTACTATTTAAAAATAAATCGTTGTATTTTATTTTTGTTTTTTTAGTGGGATAATCCTAAATTACATGTTACATCTAAAGAAACTCCGGAAACTGACAAGTTTGTTTCTCGCAGTTCAAATTTGGATAAATTATCAAATAAGCCGTTCCTAGTACTATGGAATAATGGTCAAATAAATAAAGTGTATTTTCCTAAAGACGAGCCATTGTCATTAAAAAATTTAAAGAAAGGAATTGCTGGACAGTTTCAGGTAAGCTTAGTTTAAACGAAATATATATAAGCCTCTTAAAATCCAATTTGAACAATATACAGGGTGGTCCGAACTGTATTCCGGAAACTTCGCTAGCTTATACTGCAAATAAAAATAAGTAAAAACTTCATATAAATGTATGTCATAAAATGCTTAGTTTTGGAGATACAGGGTGTAGAAATTTTATTTTTATTTAAATTTTTTCGAAATAATTTCTGAAGTAAGGTCAATATTTGGCTGAAAATTGGTGTCTGGAAGTTTTTTGACATGAGAAATTTGATTTTGATGTCAATATGACTCCTACTTGTAGAGGGCGCCACCTACATATTATTTAACTGGTTTTAAGAATAATAACTTTTTGTCTGTACATGTATAAAACTTCTGAGTAAAAAAATATACATTTACGACGCCTTTACGTAAACAAAGGCTCTTGGCTACGAGTAATAGTCTCCAGATATTTGGAATCAAAATTAAAAATACCTGTCATCATTGACATAAATTATACATGTTGACTAAATAGTTATTAGACTGCAATCATAAATTTTAAATGTTTTTGAGCCAAGAGTTCAATAGAAACTCTTTTATAATAATTTTTTCGAAGAAAAATTTATGATTAGTTTAAAAAAATAAAAAGTTGCCAAATTGTTACAAAAAATAAACATGTTGCCAACAACAGTCAACATGTTTATTTTTTGTGAATAATGTATTGACTATTTCTATTCTAAATATCTAGAGAACGGTTGCTCGTAGCGATTTTTACCAAGAGACATTTTTTAAGTAAAAATCATGGAAATGTATATTTTTTCACTCGGTAGTTTTATACAGGTATGGACGAAAAGTTCTTACTCTTCAAAACAGTTAAAACACATGTAGGTGGCGCCCCCTACAAATAGGAATCATATTGACATCAAAATCAGATTTCTCATGTCAAAAAACTCTCAGACACCAATTTTCATTCAAATATTGACGTTACTTCGGAAATTATTTGAAACAATCGAAATAAAAATTAAACTTTTACACCCTGTATCTCCAAAACTAATCATTTTAGGAGATATATTTATAAGAAAATTTTTACTTATTTTTATCTGCAGAATATGCTGCCAAAATTTCCGGAATACAGTTCGGACCACTCTGTATACAGGGTGAGTCTTAAAAAAGTGCAAATATTTTCAGGGCGAGTAGATCTCGATAAAAGAAATATATTTTCTTTTTAATAAGTCCAAAATAACCGAGTTATTTCACTTTGAAAATTTCCAAAAAAAAATATTTTTTGCTCAAATTTTGAGAGTCACTGGATCTTTTCTGGGTTTTCTTTCTTGTAAATTTAATCTATGCCTATATTATGATGAAATTATGTATTTAACTAAAAGTTTTGAAAAAATTCAAAAAATTCCAAATTTTCAAGAAAAAAATTCGCAAAAAAAATCTCACAATTGTGTTTCTGCGGTCGAAATATATACTACCCCTAAAAATATTTGCACTTATTTAGGACGCGCCTTGTATATAGACAGCAAATTCTTTTTGTGACTTATTTATTTTTTGTTTTGCTTTTTTTGCTGCTAATGTTTTGAAATTATAAAAAGAAAATAAAAATGAAATCTTTTTTTATTAATTTAGCTAGAAAAACATTCAAATCTAGTATTTTTTAGCTATCGCCTTCCAGTGAAGAAAGTACACAAGTTGATCCCTCTGGTCACTGCTCTGTTACCTATTCATCCAATACCCCAAATAAAATATTAAAAACCATACAAAATTGCTCTTTACCAAACCATAATAATCAAAGACATACCAATTTTCTTCTGGGTACTACAACTAAATCCATTCGTACCACAGACTACACAGTTGATGATCCTGGGAAAAAATTAAATAGTATAATAGTGAAAGAATTCCACACGGTTGTTATAAATGCAAAAGAAGACTTTGGTAGCACGGTTAATTCAGAAATTGTCTGTACTTTAGAAGAAACTAAACAAGTTAAAACTTTGAGTTCGAAGAATGTAGAAGAAGCAGTCAATGAACTTTCTGTCAGTGACAATATTCTTTTTCTTGAGGATGATTTATATATAAAAGATGATGATTCAGTACAAGAAACCGTGAAAAAATTTCATAAAGAAGTTGATATACAGAGAGAAAACCTGAGTAACAAGCATCTGGGTACTGCCAAATCCTCCAAAGCTTTTTTACAACTGTTGCAGGTCGCTAAAGTTAGTACTTTGGAGGATATAGGTAAAACATTGAATTCAAAGAAAAACAAAAACATATTGTAAGTTGCGTAGATTTTTCTCCAAATATAACTTTCAATCATATATGTTTTTTTTCAGATCACAACTTTATGATGTATTAGGATATACTCAAACAGAGAATTCTCATAAGGCTGTTCTGAAGAAACTGCATCTGGATAATGAAGAACATGGAGATTTTATTGAACGCTACTTATGGGCACTGTCATTTTCCAATAACCCCAATGTTGATATTGTAAAGGACCTGTTAAATAAATATAATAAATACACGAATATTCCTGATAAAATCAAAAATACATTAATACTGTCTTTAGCTTCAATGGCCAGAACGTTGGCATCTTCGAAATTGAATGATTATGAAACATTAAAGGTAAATATATGATCGTTGGCACCACAGCCTGTTTATAATCAGCCTGTCGGCTTACCACTCTTTGCAGGAAAATATGTTTAGATATTCGCTTATCGTGTATTAAGTATGTAACAAATCAGGTTTTGAACCTCAATAAAACTTCTTTATAAAAGCGAATATATGGATATTTCTCTTAACTATTTATAGATTTAGAGACATCTATATTGTTTCACATATAGAGCTTCAGATTCAGAAAGAAATGTAGTATACAGGATGATTGGTTCTTATCAAAATTCAATAAATCAGAGATCACATTTTTAAAAATATTCTCAGGAACGTCGTTTACTAGTATAAGTTAACCGTTTTTGACCATGACCTAATCTATTTTAACAGCCAGTTTATGTTTTTATTATTCTTTAGAAGGCCATATCAAGATACTCATACATAATCCCAAAAATTTTAATTACAGTTATTTAAGACTCACTCTGTATAATATGTAATTGCTAAAATTGAAACATTATTAGAGATATACCGGGTGTGTCTCAAAAGTGGCTCAACCCCTATAAGTTTTTTATTTTTTCAGTTAAAAAACGAGATTTGGTATGTTAGAATAAGACATGAATTAGGATTGATTGACGTATTCAATTGTTTTCGGTCACTTCCTGTTTCACCGGAAATGACTAGAACGTTTGATTTTTAGTGACACCATCGGTATTTTTTACTTTTTACTTTATTCGATAGAATGACGTATCATATGTCAACGTTTGACATTTTCGCATTTATTTGAAATTATAACTTGCGGTTCGTAACGAAAATTTGACTCGAAGTACCAAGTGTGTGGTTGGTTCAATACACTGGTTCCATTTGAAAAAATTCAGATATGATTAAAAATACGATTTGAACATTTTCTAATTATTGGCAAGGTCAAGACACTAAAAACATCAAACGACCAAATCTATTTTTCCAAGGCCCCTTGATTAAAAATTAGTGTTTCTAACATAGCCATGGCACTCTACATTGAATTTTAAAATACGATTTTTTATTAAGCGAGAATGTCTAAAATTGACATATAATATGTCATTCTATTCAGAATGTCATTTTCTATCAAATAAAGTAAAAAAATACCGAGGGTGCCATTTAACAATCAGAAGATGTAGTCATTTCCGGTGAAATAGGAAGTGACCAAAAACAATTAATTGAACACGTTAATCAATCCTAATTTATGTCAAATACTAACATACCAGATCTCGTTTTTTATCTGAAAAAATAAAAAAGTTATAAGGGTGAGCCACTTTTGAGACGCACCCAGTATTACTCAATTTATACGACTACAAGTTTTTTGATTTTATTTTGAGGATTCATAAATAAGTAACACTTATAGTTGTAAATTATGAGATACATTCAGAAAATTTTAAAAGATTGAATATAGTTTTATTTTAGGTCTTAAAATCTGTAGAAGAGACAATTGTAAATGGCCTAGAATACGCAAAAGATGAAGACCGTTTTGTATTCCTCAACGCTTTGAAAAATTTACAGTCTCCATCAACCATTCCTACTTTAACTAAGTACTTGAAGAAGGGCACGTTAAAAGAAGAAACTCTGGCATGGAGGGCCATTAAGTCATTTCCACGTGAATTCTGGCCAGAAGATTTATTAAAGCAAGCCAAACAAACGCTGTTTCAACTAGATAAAAGACACGATACAAGCTCTAGAACTTTAGCAGCCGATGTCATTCTAGAAACAGATCAGAACGAAGCTACATTGGAGGAATTGCTCCATTTTGTTGCTGGCAATGAAACAAATTATGAGATCAAGCAATACGTTTTTCAAAGTATTAATATGCTTTCCGAAAAAGACGTTTGGTTTAATAATAAAGTACAAAATATTATTAGAAGAAAGAAGGTGTTAAATAATTATTCCAGCTTGTCGCCTAGAGGATTGTCTACAGCTCTGGCTAGAGATATGTTTAAAGGAGTTTCGGCAAATGGCAGCTTAGTTTCAGTTCAAGAAATAAAAAGTGGAATCGTAAAGAGAGGTGTGGTGAATGTGATACTTGAGAAAGATAACGTTCCAAAAGAGTTATTTACGGTAAGATCTTACTTCTCTTTCTAGGCTCTTATTTTTTCTTAGTTCATTAAGGTATAGTGATAACATTTATGCTAATGTCTTCTGAAAGCAGACTTACCTCTTATAAGTCTGCTTTCAGAAGATATATAGATAAAATACAATATAAAATTTGGGAATGACACCTTTGGTGTTTCACATAAATCAATCTCAATACACAAAGGGAAAAAGACATACCTACCCAAACTAAAAGTTTTCTCCAGAATGCATTGTGTCTTTGTATTTTTATTTCTTATATCTTCATAATTCTCAGCTTATTCAACCATTTCCAATTATGGTGTAGCCTCCCTCACATATTTAGAAAGTCTTTTTGTATTTGGGTCCAATTTTTGGCTATTGTTGGCTATGCGGGCCTAAGTTATCCCTGCTAATTTCCTAATATCATTGACTCCTAGTTTTTGTCTTCCTCTCCTCCTCCTAGGTGCCATCTCTGATGAGGTTGGCGATTAATATGGCGTATGGCTGTCCAGAGCTTGGTGAATAAGAGTGTTTCCGTCGGTATGGGTCCAATCTCTTATGCTACGTAGCCATGATTTCTTTTTCCTCTCTTTTTCTATTTCTGTTATGAGATGTATTTCTTTATATTCTGAGTGCCGCATTATATGTCCAAGGTAGGAAGTCTTTTTGATTTTAATTGTGCCTGTTAAGTATGCACGAGCTTTCATTCTCTTTAAAACTTCACAATTTGTTGTTCTTGAGGTCCATCTTATCCTCACCATCCGACGATACATCCACATTTCAAACACATTAAGGCGTTTGATGTCTTCTAGTTTTAGCGTCCATGTTTCGCATCCATATTGAAGTAGGGGCCATATATAACATTTTAATAATCTTAGCCTCGTTGGTATAGCTATTCTCGGATGGCATAAGAACTTCCGCATGTTGAGGAAACCAGCCCTATCTATTTCAATCCTTCTTCTGATTTCCTTAGAATGGTCTAGCTGGCTGTTTAATTCCCTGCCCAAGTAAATATATCTCTGTGTGGTTTCGAGACCGACGCCGTTTACCATTATGTCGGCATTTTTATTGTCTTGCGGATGTCTGTCGAAAATCATAGTTTTTGTCTTGACGGTGTTAATCTCTAGACTCATCCTGATACTTTCTTCTGCCAGTTTGTCCATTAGGGTTTGCAGCTGGTCTTCGGATTCTGCTAATACCACGGTATCGTCTGCGTATCTTATATTGTTTATAATTTTTCCATTTATTTTAGCCCCTTCTGGACAATTTTGAAGAGATTTTTGGATTATATATTCGGCATAAACGTTAAACAGTAATGGTGACAATATGCATCCCTGTCTAACACCTCTTTGTATGTCTACGTATCTTGTATTTCCTTTTTCTGTTCTGACACAACCTTTGTGATTCCAGTATGTGTTCCTTATTATGATAATATCTCTCTCATTCAAGCCTACTTCATGAGAACTTCTAGTAATTTTTCGTGCTGTATATCGAAGGCTTTTTTGTAGTCAACGTAACATACATACAGCTTCCTTTGGACTTCCATGTACCTCTCTGCAATTAACGTTAAACTCAGGATGGCTTCTCTTGTTCCTGTCCCTCTTCTAAAACACTATTGTGATCTTGTAAGGAAATCATCACATTTGCTGTATACTCTATTGAATATTCTTCGCATAAAGATTTTCGTTGCGTGGCTCATCAGACATGTTGTTCTGTGGTCTTCGCATTTCTTCGCTTTATTCTTTTTGGGTAAGGCTATGAAGGTAGATTTTACCCAGTCGGGGATTGTTCCGGTTTCATACACTTTATTGAAAAATTGGGTCAGTATTTTGATGGCATTATCGCTTATGTGTTTAAAGTGCTCTGCTGTTATTTGATCCTCGCCCGGTGCTTTATTGCTTTTCGTTTCTCTGATTGCTCTGATGACTTCATCTTTCAATATGGGTATAGTAAACGCCACGAATGTTTGGGAGTGATTCATCGCTTCATGAAGTTAGAATCGACACGCGCGCTATCATTTTTACATTTAAAACGTAAATTTTTACCGCAGACGTAGGTTTTTAAAGGCCCGGTCTAATCATCTGCCTGCGCTCCTCCTACTTATTCTAAAATGTTAGCGTGAATGACAAAGTCGATATTATATCGCGTTTCTTTGATTGATTCGTTTTTGTGCGTCAGTCCATTGGTGTGCTTGCAGTGCGACCAATGGAGCATTCCAGTTTATATTTGTAACCCAATTTATGCTTTGACAAGACTTTGACAGTTAAAACAACAAATTACAACAGATTATGTATTGATTATTATATGACTTGAAACACCACGGCACTGGAATTAAGTTTTATGTGACCTTGAACAGATTAGTTCACATGGTAGCGACCGATGAATCACTCCCAAATATTCGTGGCGTTTACTATAGATGGTCTCCTTTCTCTATATGGTTTTCCTCTAGGTCTCTTAATTCCTCGTGGGTACCATGCTGTAATTTTTGTGGTCCATCTGTTGTCCGTCCTTCTTGCCAGGTGTCTTGCCCATTGCCACTTGAAAGATCTAATTCTGTGGATGACATCTATCGTCTTTTGTCGTATCCGCTCTATTCTTTTACGGTCTTTCTTGGTTATTCCCAGCATATTTCGTTCCATTGAGCGTTGTGCGACCTGCAGTTTCCTTATAATGTCCATTTGAACATATTGGTCGAATGTTTTCCTCTTTAGAATATTTCCTTATTTCTCATATAAACATTTCTATAAATGTTGCTGATAAATGTTTATTTTTAGTTAGGGATATTTTCTGGAGGCTTAAACAGCTTTATGTCAAGCGAAGATGGTGACGAACAAGATCCTAATGAATCAGCCACAGCTGGCATGGAACTAACTGTGCTAGGAACCCAAATAAGACCATTTGTGTTTTTTGATGGTCAAGGAGAGCTGATGGGTCATGTATGGTCAGGTACTGCATCCGACATGACACCTGCTTTCCAAGTGAGTTTCACATATTTCGATATCACATCGTGTATTCTTGATAATTATTTAGTTATAGTTAACTAACTCTTAGCTCTTTTAGGCTCTAATACTTTGGCAAGATCACGAAGATCGAATCACACTTTCGAATGGTTTTGTAGCTGTAGCTAACTTCAAAGGAGCTGTATCTTTTGATTTATCGGGGAAAATTTCGATTTCCCTATGGAATAGAAATGCACAATCGATTATAGAAAAATCGTAAGAATATTATTGATAAAGTTTAGAGACAAAATATAGTATTATCTCAACTCAATTTTAATTCTAGGATTGGCTTGGTAAATAGAGGAGAGATAGGAATATCAACTTCATTTGTGAAAAGCAAGGTAGAATTTGAAGCATCAGTAGAACCAAAGCTGAGTTTAGAAATAGACGCTGATTTTTCTTCCAACGTTAAATTATGTATGAGGCTTTCCCAGCCACATTCATTATTAAGGTAGAACGTTTTTTAATATTATACACTCACCGGCACCAAAAAAGGGTCAGCGTAAAATTTTGATGTATTTTAAAGTTGAATATATTTTTTTCGGTGGGCCGATTTTGATGATTTTTTAAGCAATACGTAGCTAAATTATTTGACTTTTTGGTATTTCTTTCTAAATGAAAATAAAAGTTTCCATCTGTCAATTATACGAGGGAAAACAAAATGGTGAAAGTTTCAAACACACTGTGAAATATCTTAAGACAGCAAAGAACTTAAAAATTATTTTATCGTCTAGGTACATCCTTTCTCAATAATTTGTTTTTTGGATCATAGCAATAGCGTTATTTTTGTTGGAGATATTCGCTTTTTGAAGAAGACACTAACATTTTTTCGTAATTTTTACATTAAAACCATACCTTTACTTTTGGTCCTAGTCAACAGACCTATAAAATAGTGTTTATGATTTATGTAATGTCACTCTATCATATTATTATTGTCTGTGGGGCAGTTACTCTAGCAGATATGTTTTAAGTCCAAAAGCTGATCTCTACCATGATCAATTAAAGTCGATACTTAAACTTAAAATCATCTCTACTAAAGTAAACGTCAATAAACAATAATAATATGAATTTTTAGTGGCAATGACATAAAAAACATTAAACACTCTTTTAGAAGTGTGCTGATGAGTAAACGGGCAGAGGCATGCTTTCAAATCAAATGCTGAAATTGCTGTAAATCGTTACTGTCTTGTTCAAAAGCTAATATCTCCAATAAAAATAAAGTTATTGAGATGAATCAAAAAACAAACTATCGAGAAAAAACGTAACTAGATGAAAAAATAACTACATTTTCAAATTCCTTGGTTTCTTAATATTTTTCACAGGGTGTTTCAAACATTCAGTAAAATGTCAACATTTTGTTTTCCCTCGTATAATTGACAGATGGGAACTTTCATCTTTAATTTAGAAAAATATACTAAAAAGTCAAATAATTTAGCTACAAATTGATTAAAAAATCATCACAATAGGCCCACTAGAACAAAATATACTCAACTTTAAAATACATCGAAATTTTAAGGTGCCTGTTTTTCGTGCCGGTGTAAGACTACTATATTAAACTGGTTGTCTCGTAACTTTTGGACCAATAGGGGCGAAGCGGCAACTACGTCACGGGAATGCTACAGAGCCTATAAAATCATAGATAAAGAGAGATAGATCGACAATGTAATAAACAAAACAAACATCAAACAACTGAAAACTATGGACGCCACGTAATATAGTTTGAATGAATATCAATTCGGAAATACACTGTCGCACTCTCGGCGGTTTTTATATCTTTATCTATGAGCGGTAGCATACCTGTGACGTAGTAGATGACGTTTCCGATAATGGCGGATCGAGTTACGCAATGACTAAAGAATTCAAGGACAAATAACACCCGAGAGCAAATTGTTACCATGGCACCAAACAGTGCCGTGACCATATTTTTTTCTTAACTTAGCTGGTTGAAGGGATATTTATATTTTTGATAAATGTTTTAACTACGCCTATGGTGTAGGCGATGGTATCATACTAATTAATAACGAAAAAAACGTATTAAAATGTTAACAAAAGGTACAAAACTAGTATCGACGTATAGCACACATGAAGTACAAATAATATCAGAAAAATAATTATCGAATTCAATAAGAAAACTAAGAAAACGCTAAAAAGGTGGAGCGGACTGTTTATTTACCTATGAAAACGTAACTCCCGGCTCTTACTTATCGCTGCGGCTTTTACACTTGAAAGTTGAAAAACTAATTGAAATTGTAATAAAGTTTATACAAAGTTTACTATACACAAACTATTAAAAATCGCTAATTTTCGATGATGACCAGCTGATGACTCATTCGTCGCCATCAAAAAAATGGCGTCTAATGTCACAAATTCTGCTGCAGCCCGTATATGGGCGTTACATATCCTTATATTCTTTAGTCATTGGAGTTACAAGACAATCTTATTTTTTAATAACGTTGATGCCGGCATGGCCGGACTTAAAAAAGTTGCCGCTCCAGGCTAAAAAAAATTTGCCGCCCCTTAACATTTTTTTTTAATTAAAAAAATTACAGATATAAAAAACATTTATTTGAATACAGGACTAACAACAGAATAGACCGACAGAACAGATCAACACAGAACATAAAATAAATATTCATATAAAATGACAACAAACGAACAACAAAACTATAAGGTTTGCTTATATGCCTATAAAGGCTTCCTACGTACTTTTTTGTTCGCAAAATTATCAATTACTTCATCGTAATTGATAGTGTTTAAAGGTCGGACTCAATATATAAATATAATTAATAATAAATTCACGAAAATGTATTAATTCATTAGGTATTGACTCATCTAAATCATTTAGATAACAGGTTATTAAATGTCTGGACTTATCGGTAATGTCGTCAATACTTAAAGTAGATAAATCACTAAAGAAACCAAATTTGGTTGAAAAGTCATTGTAGGTACTTTTCCTGTAGGAAAAAAATATTTCAAAGATTAATTTATCAGTAATAACATTAAATACAGTTATCCTAAAATCGTCCCTAGCGTTAAATAGAGTTTCATTATCACTGGTTCCATCAAATTGTCGTTTCCGTTTCACTTTTCTCCGCATATTCTTACTTAACGAACAATTCTTTGGCCCCTCTTTCATATTTCTCAAATGATTTAGTATTATCTAGATTTCTCATTTCAGAGAAATATTTTTCCAATGAGCTATATAAATCTGCAGCAAGTTGTAGATCAATATCCACCATTTGAAGCTTTTTATTGACCGCATCTAATCTATTTAAAACGTCTGTCCAAAATACCTCCATAAAACCCATTTCTAGGCTTTTGATTTTTTTTTAGGAGACTAGAAGCATCTAATCGGGTTTTAGGCTTTTCGGTATCGTCTTCAGAAATTGACTCCAACGTGGATTTTATTTCATTGAAAGACAAAGACAGTGATTGGCAAGCTTTATTTCGTGCAGACCAACGTGTTTTTGATATTTTTTTTTTAATGTTTTTGAAATTTTCAACAAATAAAGGTTAAAAATAGATAAATATTTTAGTATGCTCAAAATTTGCCGCCCCTAAAAATCTGCCGCCCCAGTCCCGGGCCTAGTTGGCCTAGGCCTAAATCCGGCACTGGGTGCCGGTGAGTGTTTCATTAGTATTCAATCCATATTACTTTTTTTAGCTACTTCACTTCGAAATTGGAAAGCATTCCCAATACTAAACACCAAATAAAATTCAGTCGGACGAGAAAACGGGAAATTCCTGGAGTGACGTATGCACTGAATAGGAAAAACAGCGAGATGTGCAATGCAATCTTTTAGTTAACCAACATATTGAACTCTGAACCATTTTTGGGTTCAATCGAAATTTTAACGAGTGCTGTGTTTTAATTAAGAGACTCAAAAAATTGTACCATTCCAAATATTAATTATATGTTGTTATAAGACGATAAATGTTAAAGTATTTATAATTTTTATTTATGTTTTTTTTACAGAACAATTTGAGTTTTAGCATAATTTTTTGTAAAATTTTATATACCGGGTGCGTCTCAAAAGTGGCTCACCTCTATAACTTTTTTATTTTTTCAGATAAAAAAACGAGATTTTGTATGTTAGTATGTGACATAAATTAAGATTAATTGACGTATTCAATAATTGTTTTTGGTCCCTTCCTATTTTACCGGAAATAACTACAACTTTTGTAATTTAAACTACAACAACTTTAAATAGCACTCTCAGTATATTTTTACTTTATTCGATAGAAAATGACACTCTGAATAGAATGACATATCATATGTCAACTTTTGACATTTTGGCATATGGTTTATTTGAAATTGTAACATGCGGTTCATTTTAACTCTAAATACCAAGTGACTTTTAACCGGTCAGGACAAGACATGAAAAACATTAGACGATCAAATCTATTTTTTCAAGGCTCCTTGATTAAAAATTAGTGTTTTTAACACAGTCATTGTACTCTAGATTAAAATTTAAAACACGATTTTTTTAAGCGAAAATGTCAAAAGTTGAAATATGATATGTCATTCTGCTCAGAATTTCATTTTCTATTAAGTAAAGTAAAAATATACCGAGTGTGCCTATTTAAAATTGTAGTCATTTCCGGTGACACAGGAAGTAACCAACAACAATTGAATACGTCAATCAATCTTAATTTATGTCATATACTAACATACCAAATCTCAAACATACACAAATAAATTATATACAGGGTGTCCCAGAAATAAGTGCAAGTATTTTAAGGGGTGGTAGATCTCGATAAAAGAAACATATTTTCTCTTTATCGTTTTTCAAATAAGTCCAAAATAACGGAGTTATTTTACTTTGAAAATTTTCCAAAAAAATTAATTTTTGCTAAAATTTTGAGAACCACTGGATCCTTTTTTGGATTTTCATTCTTGTAAATTTAATCTACTACCTATGTTACCATATTATCAAGAAATTATTTTTTTTAAATAAAAACTAAAAAAATTTCAAAAAAATTTTTCAAAAAATTCCGAATTTTCAATTTTTTTTTGCAAAAAAACTTCGGCGTATTTCTACCAGTTAAAATACTTGCACTTATTTCTGGGACATCCTGTATAATACAAAATCTCGTTTATTTATCTGAAAAAATAAAAAAGTTATAGGGGTGAGACACTTTCGAGACGCACCCGGTATACACTCTTCTTCAAAAGGTAATATTAACTTTATTACGTTATAACGGTGTCTAAATTGTTTTAATTTCAACAATGTCAATAAGCTATACCTGAGCATGACGTAGAAATTTGACGTTTTAGATTTCAAATTTAATGTAGTATTTTCTTCTTCACGATGTCGCAAAATTCAAGTTCCAGTTTAAGAAAAAGTCGTTCGAAAAAAGGAAAAATCACCAGAAACCCTTTTCTCAACTTTCTGCGAGATTTCCGAAAAAACAACAAAGGTTTAAAAGTGACGCAGCTGACCAAAATCGGAGCGAAGGTATGGAGAAATATGAATAAAAGGGAAAAATCGCCATACTACAGGATGGCAAAAGAAGCACCGAAAAAGGGATACAGGAGAAAAAGCCACAGTCGCAGGTCGCGTAGTAGGAAAAATGACATGATGGTGGACGATGATACACCTGAAGATCCAGTAAACGGTAACGAAAATAGTATTGAAAATAAGCCCGAAAGCATTATTGATTTGGACAATTACCGTCCTCCTAGTATAAGAAATACAGATTCGCAAGAACTGAAGATTATTGAACTTCCTCAAGACGATGGTGATCAAATTAAAAAAGATGATAATGAAATCGTTTAGTGCATCCATTTTTCCTTTTGTCATATTATTGTATGTACCTTGTTTTGTTTCTAAATATTTACACGTTTAATATACACAAGTTTCTCTAGTCAGTTGTAAGTTTTATTAATATTTTTGGTCATCTTATTACCATTTTTGGTCACAATAGGTTATGGATTTTAAGACTTAAAATCAGTTTAAAGATAAATTATTTGAATTATTCAATATACAGGGTGAGTCTTAAATAAATACAAATATTTTTTTTCCAGGGCTGGTAGACCTCGATTAAAGAAACGTATTTCCTTTTTACCGTTTTTCAAATAAGTCCAAAATAACCAAGTTATTTTACTTTGAAAATTTGGAAAAAAAATGATTTTTTGCTTAAATTTTGAGAACCACTGGATCTTTTTGGATTCTCTTTCTTATAAGTTTAATCTACTATTTTGCCATATTATTAGCAAATTATGTTTTTTAACTAAAAACTAATAAAACTTCCAAAACTTTTTTCAAAAAAATCCAAATTTTCAAGTTTGCCCCTTTGGTTGAAAATCTTATGTGCTTCTCATATAGAGTCTATCTATCCATCAACTCTGCCATCAATAAAATTTACTTTGGAAGATAGTATTTTTAGATTATAGAAGATACTAGATATATGTTACATTATTAAATATCTTTTTTTACTTCAGCGTAAAATAGTTAGAATCTAAAATTGTCTACTGCATTGGATGACAGGAAAATACTCGTATAAATTTGATTTAATTCAGAACTAGGATAACATTTGGATAACATTTTTACCAAAATGATTTTTTGCTTAAATCTTGAGAACTACTGGATCTTTTCTAGTTTTTTTCTTGTAAATTAATAAAAACTAAAAAAAAATCAAAAATTCCAAATTTTCAAAAAAAAATTTCGCGAAAAAAACTCATAAACGTGTTTCTGGGGTCAATATATACAGGGTCCGGCAATAGTGCGTCGGGCATCTGTCGCTCCTAGAATAAAAAACTTGAGAATTGTTTAAGTGCAAACCTAAAGAATGTACCAGGATGTATTTCAGGAAAATATTTTAACTTCTATAGGGTGGCTCAAAAAAGTGTGAGTGGACCTGGATGATTTTTTTTAAATGGAACACCCTGTATATTATTGCATTTTTGGCTTCCTTTTAGATCACTTTGCATAACCCTAAGATATGAATAAATATATTTCGACAGTTATATTATTTGCAGTTTTATATTTCATATGGCATTTTCCACAGTAAATTTTTATCAAAGCCACCCAATAACTTTTCTATCGTATTTTACCATTGACAGCGAGGTCGCGTAGTAGGAAAAATGACATGATGGTGGACGATGATACACCTGAAGATCCAGTAAACGGTAACGAAAATAGTATTGAAAATAAGCCCGAAAGCATTATTGATTTGGACAATTACCGTCCTCCTAGTATAAGAAATACAGATTCGCAAGAACTGAAGATTATTGAACTTCCTCAAGACGACGGTGATCAAATTAAAAAAGATGATAATGAAATCGTTTAGTGCATCCATTTTTCCTTTTGTCGTATTATTGTATGTACCTTGTTTTGTTTCTAAAGATTTACACGTTTAATATACACAAGTTTCTCTAGTCAGCTGTAAGTTTTATTAATATGTTTGGTCATTTTATTACAATTTTTGGTTTTGTTATGGTTATGGTAACAATAGGTTATGGATTTTAAGACTTAAAATCAGTTTAAAGATAAATTGTTCATTATACAGGGTGAGTCTTAAATAAATGCAATCATTTTCAGGGCTGGTAGATCTCGATTAAAGAAACATATTCCCTTTTTACCGATTAAGTCCAAAATAACTGAGTTATCTTATTTTGAAAATTTGCAAAAAAATAGTTTTTGCTTAAATTTTGAGAACCACTGGATAGTTTCTAGTTTTTTTTCTTGTAAATTTAATCTACTACCTATGTTGCCATATTATCAAGAAATTATGTTTTTTAACTAAAAACTAAAAAAATATCAAAATTTATTTTTAAAAAAAATCGAAATTTTCAAAAAAAAAATTTGCGATAAAAACTTCATAATCGTGTTTCTGGGGTCAAACTATACTATCGCTAAAAATATTTGCACTTTTTAATACACACCCTGTATAATTAAAGTTAAAAAAAAATATAAAAGTTGGTTTTGGTTTGGAAAATGAAAATGTGAAGAAATAGAATAACAGAGGCATCAAAAAAGTTAGTAAAAGAGACATCAAAAAAGGACCAACACTTTTTACATATCGTTTTATTTATACACCGTTTCTTTTGTTATTAATATGTATAAATTGATGATGATGATTGTATTTTTTTGATGTTCTAAATTCCCTAAATTAAAACATACCCTTAAAGAATATTAATGTTATAATATAATATTTACTTTGTAGAAAATTTAAAAACAATTTATAAATTATATATTTATTATCTGAATTTACAACTTCATAGAAGAGAAAATTACCAGAAATCTGTTTCTATTTTTTTTTCAAAATTTTAGCGAAAACAAAATAATTTTGAAATGAAAATGTGAGAAAATATGAAGGAAAGGAAGAAATTCCATCAACTGAAATAGTTCTAATGAAAAATAAACTGTAGATATATCTATTTAACTCCAGGTTAGAAGTTTTTAATCGTAGTATAACAATAAAAATCGTTTAATGTGCATAATACTAAAATACTACAATTCAATAAGTTCATTTAATTATGTGTGTGAATATCCTAACCCCAAGAAGGTGTTTTATCCTTATTGAAACTCTAATACAAAAATCAAAAGATAGGAAATACATATTACTTTTATTCGAAACAGACATTATTTGATACATATATATAAATAAATATCTTAACATAAAAACGTAAAATTAATTAATAAATTTTATTTCTTATCTGCAACCACACTCCAAAACCACCATATCCTTGTATGCATATCGATAAGTTAACACTCCTCTATCGTCAATGTACAAAATAGAAATGGAATCCAGCACAGTAGGAACACAGCAAGATCTCGAGGCTTTTAGAGGATTGTAGCTGTGGATCAGAGCTTGCATGATGGCATGTTTGGTTGGACTTAAATGCTCGGCTACTGGATAGAAGCATCTTCCCTGGCATTGATAAGCCTAGAAATATAAACAATAAGAAAATCGTATAGAGGACTTATAGTCATAGTATTTAAATAAATCTTGAAACCGTTTGCTTTATAAGTAAACTAGCGTGTACCCGCGACTTCGTTCGCGTCGAATTAATCATTTGTAATGGTGATGATAAAGCAAAGCAAGAATTTCCATTAACATACACACTCGATAAAATTTTCTCACATTTATGTCAGCATGAGAAAAAACAATATGGCGATATTATTATATTTTGGCAGTTTATAAAAACACCCTTTGGAATTTGAGATTCGAGAAACCCCTCCTTATCGAACCTCTACACCCCACAGTCAATCCGTTTGCCAAAAATCAGCTCAAGCAGTTTGAGCAGAATCGTGATTACTCAATGGTCATATTTTATGAAACACCCTGTATAATTTTTTAAAAAAATTTTAAAATACGTAAAACAACAAAATAAAATATACGCGGTAAAGATTTTTTCCGAAAAACTCACCGGTTTTTAAATAAAAAATATTCCAATATTTGAGGGCTAGTTTCACCCCCTTGGAATTCGAGTTTCGAAAAATCCCTTTTTATCAAACCTCTACACCCTAAAGTCAATCCGTTTTCCAAAAATCAGCTTTTTACGTCAAGCGCTTTAAACAGGATCGTGATTAATCAATGACCAGATTTTTCGAAACACCCTGTATACATTTTTAAAAAATCTTAAAATGTGTAAAAAAACAAAATAAAATATACGTGTTTAAGTGTTTTTTTCGGAAACTTGACCGTTTTTTAAATAAAAAAAATATTGTAATATTTGAGGGGTAAGAAATCCCTTCTTATCGAACATCTACACCCTAGAATCAACCTGTATGCCAAAATTGAGTTTCTTACGTTGAGTGGTTTGAGCAGGATCGTGATTAGTCAGTGAGTCACTTAAGGATTTTATATATTAGTATAGATATAACATTTTAAGAAGTTTTTAAACTTGACGATTATTCATATTAGTTTAATAGTGAATTTACCAATTGTCATGAACGACTGAATAGTCATGAATGACTTTTATCTGTTAAATGAATTGCTTTTTCCCGTTATTTATTTCTAGATTAGACATATTTTTGAGGTAACCATCACTGTTTCACCTGGAATGGGAATCCTTTACGGGATTTTCGACCGAAAAAAAGGACGCCAGTATGTGTCGTCACTGGAAACTGCCCCTATTATTTCTATGTTTACTTACATCATAACCTGGTGGTTGCACTATCCACAAATCATATTCAATCTCCTTAAAATTAATATACAAAGGTTTTCTTTTACAATTATTCCTTTTATATTTCTTTGCTATATTTTTCTTCAAGGAGTCATCAGTCCATAACCGATTAGTTTCTTCCTCGTAATCTTCTTCGACGTTTCTTTTCTTTCTTTTTCTCCCATTTTCTCTCTTTTCATCTGATACTATAAGCTTCTTGTTTATTTCATCCTCAATAGAATAAGTCAGAAGTAATACTGGATAATCATGATCGAAGTTTTCAATCACCGGTAATAATGATAGTTTTAAGTTGTTCGTTGATTGATGATAATATGATGAAATGGTGACAGCTAGCTTTAAGAAGCGTTTACTTGATCTAGCTTGAAGAATATCGCTGACTTCTTTAGTTAAATTAAATGAGATCCAGGTGTTGTTGAAATGATGTACTTCCAATCGATTAAGGCTCACATATTGCTTGCTAATTTCATCGTAAATTGATATTTTTAAAGTTCTTTTAACTCCTGAAAAAAAATGAGTGATGCTTTAGGTTGCAATGCGACCAAAAAGTCCAAAGGCTGATAAAAGAGGAATTTACCTGCCTCAAAAATGGAGTTAATTTTTACTTCTGTCAAAATTTTTAATTCAGCTGCAATAAATTTCTCTTCTTTGCTTGATTGTGGTAGGTCAAAAATTAAAACATGGTTTTCAGATAATTCTTCTAAAATATCATTTTCTTCTAATTTTTCTACAAAAAAATAAGGTTGCTGTATCTTTTATATCTTTAATTCAAAATTTGATTATCAATCGAATGCTACAGCAAATTAAATAATATTTAAGTATATTAATATTTTTTGTTATATACAGGGGGTTGTCCACCACATACGACACGGAGTATTGTAGCTAAACGATGAGATTTTTACAAATTGTAAGTTTGGGGTTCGTTGAAGGACTATTAGAGCTACAATTTAAAAATATTTTTACAAGATACAGAGTGTCCCAAATAAATAAAAAATATCAGAATTGTATTTTTTTAAATGGAACGCCCTGTATATTATTACATTTTTAGTTTCTACGATTAAAATAAAGGTAAATTTGATTAAGGTTTATTATACTTAAACTTTACCGTTTTTGAAATATTTTCAATTTTGTGAAATTGTAGTCAAAATTTTAAAGCTTCATTTCTCCAAGGGTATCAATGTTTTTAATACTAAATATTTAATGAAGTTTATTTATTGATCAGTTATTGTGTTGCAATAATAAAAATAATAGTACCTTATACACAGTGTCTAAAAATTTATTTTAAATAATTATTAGCTTCAAACGGCAATAACTTCTTTAATTTAAATGGAATGCCCTATATATTTTAGGAGAATCAGATGCACAATTAAATTGTCTATCAAATTGTATTATACCATTTTTTACCTATCCCTTCAAGTTTTCGTAGAAAATGCATTTTCTTCTAAATTAGACCTCATTTATCAATATATCTATGGAATATTGACATTTTAGATTGTTTTTAAAGCAACAAATGTACAAAATGTACAGACTAGTAATATTATCGTTTTTAGCAAAACGATAATATTACTAGCCCATTTGTATGCAAAAAGAAAACTATTTAAATCTTTATAAAAGGGTATACCATTAATTAAATATAACACCATTATTTCCGCCCATATACTAATTAATGACATACTTAATTGTGTTCGCTAATAAATTATTATAAATAAATGTGGATTTTTGAGTCAGAAATCAATATAATAATAAGTTATCAAATTAAAGCCTTTGTTGTTATAAATAAGCATTTATTAAAAAATGAAATATCATTTTTAAGATGTTACTTTTTATCACACTGTCTAATGCCCATGCAAAATTCAGTTTTTTAGTATTTGGAGCAATTATTATTAATCAACGCAAACAGTCAGTTAATGTAGTTTGAATACTGGAATCATATTAATTGGTCCTCTTTAACAAATATTTAAACAGTTTTTTTTTATTTTTTAATGAAATAAACGAATTATATCGACATATTAGTATCTGTACTCTTTAAAAATTTGATACATCTTTAAAAATAATCTAAAATGTCAATAGTCCATGGATATATTGATAAATAAGTTCTAAATTACAAGAAAATAAATTTTCTACGGAAACTTAAAGAGATAGGTAAAAATGGTATAACCTAATTTGATAGACAATTAAATTGTGCATCTGATTCTCGTAAAATATACAGGGTGTTCCATTTAAATTAAACAAGTTATTGCTGTTTGAAGCTAATAATTATTTAAAATAAATTTAGACACTCTGTATAAGGTAGTATTATTTTTTTTTATTATTGCAACACAATAACTGATCAGTAAATAAACTTCAGTAAATATTTAGTATTAAAAACTTTGATACCCTTGGAGAAATGAAGCCTTAAAATTTTTACTGCAATTTCACAAAATTGAAAATATTTCAAAAACGGTAAGGTTTAAGTATAATAAACCTTAATCAAATTTACCTTTATTTTAATCGTAGAAACTAAAAATGTAATAATATACAGGGTGTTCTATTTAAAAAAAATGAACTTGCCACCAACAGCTTGCAATTTTTTCAACTATCATTACTTTATGATGTTATTTTTTAATATCACGAGCCAATTTAAAAAATGTTAAAAAGTAATGATAGGCTTGGTTTTAATAAATATTAGTAACTCTAACAGATCTAAAGATATTAAAAAAAAATGTAATAACCAAGTGTACAATGTAGTCTGTATTATCTCCTCCGGCTGCTCTAACTGTCTGGAGAAGTCGGTTCATACTGTTAATGGGGTGCTTTCCCATTATTCTTCAAGGACCAAGCGAATATTCATAATTTTGGACATCTTCAACAAAATCAATGACTTTTGCACAATCTTTGACACTAAGAACCATATTCAATCGTACACAACAATAATCACCAAAGCCACCTCGTCATTATGAAGAATACAGTGGCATAGCAAGGCGGGGGCGGAGGAGGCTGACCGCCCCGGGCGGCAGCCCTCCAAATACCTGCGAGGCGACAAAAAATTGTTATAAAGGCGGCGGACGGATTCTGTAGGGGCGGCAAACCTGTCTCCTAGAGGCTGTCCGCCCCGGGCTCCCCTAACCCACGCTACGCCACTGGAAGAATAACATCAAAAAGTAACGATAATTGAAAACATTGCAAAATGTTTGTGGCAAGTCCATTTTGCTCTTAAAAATTAACCAAGACATGTGTTGACGTGAGTCAACAAACAAAATATTCAGGAGACACGGGTCTGACCGTAAAATAATGTTTTAGGAAAATTTGTTCACGAAATTATTGTACAGGGTATTTTAAATATAGAGTAAAAAAAACTCTTCGATTAACCCTGTATAATAAGTCAAATACTAAAGTTTATAACAAACTGAGTTTTTGAATGAAAGTTGATATATTTGTAGGGCTAAAAATAAAAAACAAATAACATTTTAAACTTGACTAAAAAAATTTAAAAAATTTGCGTTTTTTTGCATCTAAGTGTAAAAATAAATTACAACCTTCTTAAAGCCAACTGGCAGTAAGCGCCATTAAAAAATAAATAAAGGGCTTGACCTCGCCAAAATTATTATCGATTGTCAACCCGCAGCCGTCTTTGACGCCGTTTTTTTTCTCGATGGTTTGGTATATCTGATTGTAGCATATTTAAATATAGTAAAAAACTAATACTACTAATAAATTCACTTGTTATAATATCAGATTAACTTCAGAAAGAAATTATTCAATTTAAATTTACCTGCTTGCGTAGGAATTAGACTGCGAACCAAGTCAGGTCTATCACTATTACTTCTACCAGCGCTTTTATTTTTCTCGTAAAGCTCCAACATAAACTTTGGAACATGATACCTAATCCTCCTCTTCAAACCCTGTTTTACTGTGTTTTCTCCAGAATCACTCACATTCACCACCGGATTGTCCAGGCTTGGTGCCTTGTGACCGTTGATAATCTTCACCTCGATGGACGTGTTACTAGTAAAATTATTCTTCAATACCAGAACGAGGTAAATCCACAGAATAAGAAGGATAGGAGCGAGAATAACAAGACTGAAATACATGTCCAGATAAATTTAATGGGTAAACTGAGGACGCCAAGCGTCGAGACGTCGATGTTATGATGCTCTCTCTTCGTATTAAACCACTTGAGATCCATTTCGAATTTTATCTCACCTTTATCGACCATTTAAGAAAAATATGTTCCTCCTGCAATACCTCGCACTATTTTTAGAATCTAATATTATTTTGGTTTTATTTTTATTGAAAATGATTTATCAGTCAGCAATTGGTTTATATTGATATGCATTAAAGTAGCCTAAACCTTTTCAATCAAAAAGTTTTGTAATTTTTTATAGAAACAATTTAGAAACCAATACCTAACTATTTAAAGGTGGTAAACAAACAATGTCTTATTTAAAAGAAAGTGCTTTATTTTTTTCTATAGATTCTACATCCTACATTTAATTTTCTATAGAATATGCTTTCCAAGCCGTTGATTCTTCAATGCTTGTCTGGCTAAAAATGTCATCCAAATGTTATCCTCTTTCTGAAAAAAATCAGCTTAATTTAAATTCTGATTAAAATCAGTTAAATATTTTCCTGTCATCCAATGCAGTAAACAATTTTAGCTTCTCACTATTTCAAACTGAAGTAAAAAAGATATTTAATAATGCAACATAATAGTATCTTCTATATCATCTACTATCTTCAGAAGAAAATTTAATTTGAAGAATAGGTAGACTCTATATGAGGAGCACACTCTATAATATTTTCAACCAAAGGGACATTGCAAACTATATACACAGAGTTCAAAATTTTTTTTGAAAATTTGGAATTTTTTCAAAAAATATTTTGGAAATTCTTTTAGTTTTTAGTTAGAAAACATAATTTCTTGGCAACATAGGTAGTAGATTGTAGATTAAAATTACAAGAAAGAAAATCCAGAAAAAATCTAGTGGTTCTCAAAATTTTAGCAAAAAATATTTTTTTTGGAAATTTTAAAGTAAAATATCTAACTCGGTTATTTTGGATTTATTTGAAAAACGGAAAAGAGAAAATATGTTTGTGTGTGTATAAGGTGCCCGGTGGCGTAGAGGTACAGGCTCTCGTCTACCAATCTCAAGGTAGTTGGTTCGAATCCCACACCCAGCATTGCATCAGCCGACTATTTTTATTAAAATAAAAATAGTTTGGGTACCTAGGTCGACTCAGCCTTCAATGAGTACTTGGGATTCACAATCCTGAGGTAATAATAGGCGGTTGAAGCGTAGTGCTAGCCACATTACCTTCCTTGTATACCGAACGGCTCTAGTATGGCAAGCTGTAGCTTGCTACTCCCAAGGGGTTTAACGCTATAAACGGGAGCTATTATTATTATTATAGAAAATATGTTTGTTTTATCGAGATCGACCAGCTCTGAAAATATTTGCACTTATTTAAAACATACCCTGTAAATAAAATTAATTTTTATTTAAAATGTCTATAAACAACTTACAAGACATAAAAATATTCGAAATTATTTTACTATGCAATTATTCATTATGAAAGTAAAAAAACAATATAGAAGAAAAAAAGAAAAATTGGTATTTATATTTATGTAAATTAATTATCTCTTATTTGTCAATCGCACCCTAGTAAATGTCACTTCTGACTTTTGATAATTACCTAGAGTAACATTGAGGTTGGCGTGATTAGGAAGTAACGATTTTCCCAATCAGCTGACTACCCTATGGAAATCATTCAACGTTGTCATGTTTTTGGAATTTTCTTAGCTTTTTTAGGAATACTCGTATACAGGTTTCTGCAACAATGCGTCGGGCATCTGTGTAGGTTCTATAAAAAAGAACTTTTTAAGTGCATACCTAAAGTCCTATTTCAGGAGAATACACTACTCAAAACAATTATCGCGTATTTGAATAAAAGTACTTATTACATATTTCTAAATGAAGCATACATTTGGCTGCCTTTTTCTTGTGAGTTTTTTTAGGATAATTAGGGTAGGCACTGACATGTAATTACAGAATAATAAATCATTTAATGGAATACTCTATATATTATTGCACTTTTGGCTTCCTTATTAATCACTTTATATAGTCCTAAAATAATATTAAGCTTGCTTTAATAATTCCAGAGGTATAAATAAATGAAAAAATTTCAGCCTATTTTAATAAATTTATTAAAAATATAAGATGTGGCCATAAATCTAAATATACTGCGGCTTACAGGTGCTGCTTATATTATAGATAGTCTCTACTTACTTTATTATAAATATCGGTAATTATTCCCACCAAGCAAAAAACCTTACATTACATTTGCAACATTGCAGTCAATCCCCAAACAGTTTGCTTTGTAATGTTAATTTCTAAACGTTGTGTCGTGATTGATGAAACCTTGCTACAGAAACATTGTTTTTGAATGGCGATTAAAATGTTTTTTCTGCAACATTGCAACAAAGATTCAAATGAAAGATCCGCGCAAGTTAATAATAATTAATAACATAACAAATATACCATAAGATCGAAAAAAACGCATCTAGTTGGCTTGGAAATGAATATCGATGACATTCCCCATATAATTTTACATATAAAATGACGGCGATTTTCTATTCATAGCCATCGCTGACGCATTGTTTTTTATTATACAGTATAAGTTAGAAGTTAGGTTAGGTAAACGCACTTGTTTTTTTACGTTTTTGGTATCACGTTTTATACTTTTCGAATGAGATTTTAATGAATGTAAATGTAAGTATAATTTTATTATCATGTGTGTTTTAATAATGCTTAGCCATGAATAAGTATAACAAATATTGTTTAGTTTGTTTATAAGCTAAATTTTATTTTAGGCAATGTTGCAGCAATAAATTTTGCTTGTTGGGTGTTGGGTTAATAATACAGCGTATTCAAAATTCAATGCCAAACTTTTAAAAATATAACATAATTTTTCTTTTTTTTTTTAATAAAACACCCTTTATATTATCTTTTTGTTGAAGGAAGAATAAAAAAATAAATATTTTTGTATTTTAAAATTTTTAACGGTTTCGCAAATATTCGCGGTATATGGCTCTTTCAACGGCAAAATACCAGACAAAAACCATTAGGTGGCTTTGATAAAGACTTGCTTTTGAAAAAGCCATATATTGTAATAGAATACCGAAACCGTTAAAAATTTTTAAATATTTTAAATACAAAAAATGCTTAATTTTTGATTCGCTAACAAAGGAATAATACACAGGGTGTTGCAAATTTAATCTACAAAATATGTTGCTATATTATGAAGATATTATATTTTTTAACTAAAAATTTAAAAAAATCCAATTTTTTTCGAAAAATTCAAAATTTGGAATTGCATTTTCAATGACAGTACATTACGAAAACGATTATGTACCTTATTTTAGAGATGTGTTGATGAGTACCAAATGCAAATACACGCTTCTAAAGCTAAAATTGCTGTAAATCTTTACCGACCTCTTTAAAAGGGAATATAACTCCAAAAATTATGATGTGTTCAAATTGATTGAGTTGATGAATCAAAAAACAAACCACCAAAAAAGACGTATCTTGATAATAAAGTGTGTTTTAAGTATCTTTTTTTGTGTAACCATTCCACAGGGTGCTTCAAACTTTCGCCAAAATAACATTCTGTGTTTCTCGTATAATAGCCAGATAATCGTTAAATTAACCAAGTCAAATAATTTAGCTACGCATTGTTTAAAAAATCAAAATCGTCCAGCCAGAACAAAATATTGAAAATTTCATTTCAATGACCACTACGACGCCTTTTTTTCAGATATCCGATGTTTTTTCAGTTGAATGAAAAAGAGCATAAAGGAAATGTTATGGTTTATTTATTTAATTATAAAGTCTTATAGAACTACTCATAATTAAAAATTTAGTTTTTTTAATAACTTCATTAAAAAAATCACTAAATACCTATATATTTTTTTTTCACTATATTTATTGTAATAAATATAGTGAAAAAATATACCTTATACCCGTCCTTATACCGTATGATCGAAAAAAAAACGGCGTCCAGTTGGCTGGGAAATGAACATCAATGACATTTCCCATATAAATTTACATATAAAATGACAGCGATCTTCATTCCATAGCCATCGCTGACGCCGTTTTTTCCCGATCATACGGTATAAGTACCTACTGATATTCAAAATTGTATGACATCATTTAGTTTCAATACCTATCTTCAGGTAGTAATTTTAATATTCATCTCTTGTACCCTACCTGCTATGTAAACTTATAGATAACCCCAACAAAATTACACACAATTTTTGGAAAGTATCGGCAACATCGCTTCCCAAAGCCAATCAGTTTTAAGGGTTGAGGGTTGAGGGCAAAATTGCACACACACTGCAACGTTCGACGGTTTCGTAGAGCGGTCGATGTCAAGCCGGCCATGGGGGTGAAATCCTGAAAAAAAACACGCCAGTCATCTTCAATCATTTTTTCGAAAACCCGTTGTGATATACGTAGGAAAAATCAGTCTGTTATCCTAGTCAATAAGTCCCTTAGTTTTGTAAGGAACACCCTAGCAAATTTAGTAAATTTTAGTCGGTTAGTGAGTTCGGCGGCTATTTTAGCAATAAACCGGTGAATTTAGCAGAATTTTAAGTGCCTAAAGAGAAACAGCAACACTGGAATAATGTTGGGTCTTCTAGTCAACGCCACATGCACCTCTTTTGAGTATTTCAAAAGCAAATTGGAATATTACTCTATCGGTAAGAATTATTATTATTAAATACCTACCCACTAAGAAAATAATAAAAAAACCTAACGCAAGTTACTGTTAAAACTGTCCTATCTATAGGTACCGTATCTTAATCTTTAATTTTTTCCAAAAAATAAATGTTATGTAACACCGAATGGCCTATAAAAGAAAATTAATATATTATTTATTAATCTAAAGTGAAGAGTTATATTTTTCGGAGTAAATATACATAATTAAAAGAGATATTAAAATAAGCCACATAAAATTTTGTTTAAACAATGTCCTCTGGCTTTTATACGATATTTATTAATTCCTTTCCAAGCCTCCGTGGCGCAATCGGCTAGCGCGTTCGGCTGTTAACCGAAAGGTTGGTGGTTCGAGCCCACCCGGGGGCGTAACTTTTTTATTTTTTTTTTGAATAAAATATATTTTATTTACTTCATAAATGAATGTAACGGAATTTTCACCTTTTTTTACTTTGAAAACATCATCGTTAAAGTGAATATATCAAATTATTATAAATAACATTTTCAAAACACGTTTCGAAAAATCTTTTAGTGAAACAAAAACGTGGTGTCGCAGTAATCGGTTTAAACTTATTCAAACTACCACTTTTCCGGTTTCCGTGACATATGGCTAGTTATAATAGTCGATTTGTATGAAACCTGAGTGGAAAGGTTCAATAAAGTGAGTGTTTATTTAACTCTGACGAAGTTGAAGAGATATTATTGTAGAAAATGTAAGTAATATTATTCAAAAAATATAATATTAGGTTAAGAATTTTATACTTAAGTCTGCACCAGAGACTTAATGCATGTGCCCGCGTATTCAATAAGATGCATCAGGGTATTTATAGAATTCGCACAGTGATCTTAGTTGCCTAACCAATGGTTAACGAATAAGCAATATCTTTGAATTTTAAATTTATTTACTTACGTATTTACTATTTATTTACTTTTACTTCTATTATTAAAAAAATTAATAAAAAAATTAATAAAAGTTTATAATTATTTTCATAAATAATTGTTTTTATGACAATTTGTTGAAAATATTAGATAAAATTTACAAGACATTTATTTGTTTATTTATTTAGCGTATGGCTTACATCACAGTATCTTAAGTTATAGGACACAGAATGGTATAAACAACAAAAAAAAATGTATATAAAAAAACTGCATAAACAACAAAAAAATATGTAGATAAAAAAACTGCATAAACAAAGAAAAAAAAACATACACAACAAAAAAATAGGCTAATCGCATGCATACAAGACATTAAAAAAATATAATAAATAAATTTTATTATTTTCGATCACAGTCCGAATTGAAATTATATTTACTATAAAATATAAATATAATATAAAATATTATTTTTAATCATTGGAAATCAGTGAGGATATCAATACCGTATGATCGAGAAAAAACGGCGTCAAAGACGGCTGGGAAATGACAATCTATGATAATTTTGGCTAGGTCAATCGCTGTACCTGCCATTTACTAAAAATTGACATAAAATTTCTCAAAAATTAACACTAACTATGGAAAGAATAAAAAAATAGAACGTTTCCAGACACACAAATCTGTTTCCAAAAAAAACATTTTTTTTCTCGAATTTTAAACTAAATCATTCCAAAATCATTTTTACTATAAAAATAAATTACAACCTTCCTAAGGCCAACTGGCAGTGAGCGCCATTAGAAAATAAGAATAGTACGGGCCAAGTAAATGACATCTAGAGCTTGACCTCGCCAAAATTATTATCGAATGTCATTCCCCGCCGTCTTTGACGCCGTTTTTTTTTCGATCGTACGGTATTATAGGGTATACATGGTGCCCCAGAAATAAGTGCAAGTATTTTAACTGGTATGTAGTATAGTTCAACCCCAGAAACACGCCTATGAGATTTTTTTCGCGAAAAAAAACTTTCAAAATCGATTTTTTTTAGTTTTTAGTAAAAAAAACATAATGTCTTGATAATATGGCAACATAGATAGTAGATTAAATTTACAAGAAAGGAAATCTAGACAAGATCCAGTGGTTCTCAAAATTTTAGAAAAAAATCTTTTTTTTTTTGGAAATTTTAAAATAAAATAACTCCGTTATTTTCGACTTATTTGGAAAACGATAAAGAGAAAATATGTTTCTTTTATCGAGATCTACCACCCTTTAAAATACTTGCACTTATTTCTGGGACACCCTGTATAAAGTTCTCTGTCAGGTTTTTGATATGAGCTTTTCACTCCACTCTATTTTACAAAATATGCTGGAAATTCACTTGTGTCTAGCCCCAGCAAGGCAACTATTAAGCTTGACCAATCGCGTTAGAGTTTTTGACAAAAGCGGATGCAGAACAGCTGTGGCGCACTATATAATTTATTACAAACAAATAAAGAAAATCAATGAATATCTAAAAAACAAATATAAAATAGTAAAAACCAACCAACCCCACCAAATAACCAACTAACCAATGAATTAACACCCTCCAAATAACCACGCTAACCAAAGCTTAATAGTTGTGTTGCTGGGGCTAGACGCAAATTGGAAATTCTAGCGGCGCACATTTTAAAAATATTTTTGCAAATATTTAGAGTGGTTCAAACCAAACATATTTTCATACTAAAGTTGTATATTTTTCAATAAGGATGATAATAATTATTGTTAGCTTCCCATTCTAAAAATACCATAATATCATATATGTACTATACCGACTGGGGTTTGAAATATAACCATTTTTAGACTAAATTTTCTCCAAATTTAAAAATCTCCTAAAATTATAAAATGCCATATTACATATTTATATTTTATAATTGAAAATGTAGGTATTGTAGTAATATTTATTATTTTTAAAACTAGATGTACTAAACATGATATATACAGGGTGCGTCAGAACCTGATATTTTATTTCTGCCATTATTTCAAATGAAACACCCTGTATTTTACGTCATAGACGAACATAGCGTTCCATCCAACTTTGTCTATTAAAAAATAAATTTTATGTATGATATAATAAATACTTATTTATTTTATAAGCTGTGTCAATCCAATAAATCGTATTTAATAGATATCCAAGTCCAAAAATTTCAGTTTTTTGCAAATATGTAGGTCTATCACTTTTAATGGCAAATCAAAAAAAGTGTGATATAGATGTGTGAAATGTTGTCAAAAAAAACAGAATTTTCTCAATAAATATCGATTTTAGACATAGAAAGTGCTGTACAGTATGTCCCCGGATTGTCTTTATAAGAGGGAAATCAGTTTTATTATATTCTTATTATTAGAAAAAAATTATTTAATTCATTCTTCTGACTACACCAGTCTCCATTTTTTATTAATATTTCGTTATGCGACTCTTGGTACAAGAGAATTATGATATTTTTCTTTTTGATTTATTAAATTTATTATTCTACTTTGCCGGCAGTTCTGGTTCGATCTTGCCACTCTTGTGTCGCGAGTGAGTGATTTTTTTTAGACGATGCCAGGAATTAAAGAAGTTTTCTCTGATGTTGGTGAGTGATTTTCTTTAAGCTTTCTTTTTTTCTTTTCTTTTTTCTCTTTTTTTCTTTTTTTTTTGGCTACTTCAAAAGCCATTATTAGATTTTCCGTAGCATAGAACTAAATTAATTCTGAGTTGCTTTGACATGATGTTCAAGAATCAATACACGGTTGAATTTTAGAATTGTTACTAATAATTTTAAGGTAATTGTTAATAATTATTACAAGAGTGATAATAGTTATCGGAAAGTGTGATATTTTAACAACAGTAAAAAATATGACGCTAATCAAAATTAATAATAACAAAATTTACCATTTACCACAGAATGAAATCGAGAAATTATATTACCATTGAAACACGTTTTGATTTTTAGAACTTAAAATTCAATTATACCGGGTGCGTCTCAAAAGTGGCTCACCCCTATAACTTTTTTATTTTATTTTTTTGAATAAAAAACGAGATTTGGTATGTTGGTATATTAAATAAATTAGGATTGATTGACGTATTCATTTGTTTTTGGTCACTTCCTGTTTCACCGAAAATGACTACAACTTTTGATTTTTAAATGGAATCCTCCTTATATTTTTACTTTATTCGATAGAAAATCACACTCTGAATAGAATGAAATATCATATTATGTCAACTTTTGCCATTTTCTTTTAAAAAAATCATATTTTAGATTTCAATCTAGAGTGTCATGGTGAAACACACTCATTTTTAATCAAGGAGGCTTGGAAAATAGATTTGATCGACTAATGTTTTTCGTGTCTTGCTCTGGCTGGTTAAAAGATGCCCAAAATATATTTTTCATCATATCTCCTCTTTTTCAAATGGATCATAGGAGGCTCATTAGCATACTTCGATAAAGCATTTTTTTACGAATAATTTGTTACCACACACTGATATGTCAAGTCAAATTGTCGTTATGCAATATGGGGTACAATTTCAAATAAAGCATTTGCGAAAATGTCATAAGTTGACATATGATATGTCATTCTATACAGAGTGTCATGTTCTATTGAATAAAGTAAAAAAAAATACAGAAAGTGTCATTTAAAAATCAAAAGTTATAGTAATTTCCGGTAAAACAGGACAAGTGA